GCTCTTCCGATCTGTATGTGTGTTGGAATATATGTTCAATGCAACGACAAAGACACATCTATAGGCATACTCCTCTTGCCACCTACCCCCGCAAGTGATCTAACGAACCTCCTTAATTTACAATTATAAACGTAATTATATAAATCTACTTACCCACATCTCTGCATTTGTCATGACCATAATTCACTGATTGGCCCATCTTTGTGCAACCGTTGCTAATTCCTTATCCCAGCTCTAAAAAAATATGTCCACGCATATAAAATTTTATATACACACGTGTGTGTGTGTGTGTGTGTGTGTGTGTGTGTGTGTGTGTGTGTGTGTGTGTGTGTGGTGCGTGCGCGTGCGTGCGCATGGTTTGTAATGTATATATTTATCTATACATTGTCATCAAAGTTTAAAATAAAATTCCATTTACAATTTTATATATTGTAATAGTCATTGCATATTATATATATCTAGTTTATATTTTATGTGTATTAATATTTAGTTTGTACATGTTTTAATAACGTATCTTAAATATGTGCTCTTGTAAATACACTATTACATGGCATAAAATTATAGACAAATTTTCATTTCCTAAATTTTATAATAAATTATAAATATCTGTTGGAAGAAAAGATAGTTCTATGTCTTTACACACTTATACAGGATGGAATTGATAGAATCATTGTTATACAGTGGCAATAATACATAATAATACATAATAGTCGGCATTTGTTATAATATATTTTTACTTTCAAGCATTTTAAAATGTTTTCAAGGTACAATTTTAGCATTTAATTATGGTAGATCGTGAACAAAAATAACAGGATACAGTTGTAATATCGCGAATATTTTTAAAACTATAATAGGTATACAGGGTGTCCGGTATTTAATGGTAAACCGCTCGTGGGCAGGTAGAGTGGGCTAAACTGATTCGAAAAGTCTTTTACCATTTTACGATCTTCGCAATATAGTTATCGAGGTACCATTCATTAAAAAAAATTACGTTAAGTATATAAAAAAAGTATCATACATTACATCTTACCTAAATCAAAAATATTATTTTAGCAAATAAAATACGCCTTCGCGCATGTTCCGAATGGAAATGCAAATGGAAGAGCATATGTTTATGTGAGAAACGTGCGCGAAGCCTTATCTTCCTCACGTTCTCGCAGTGAACCTCGTTAATGCCAAAAATCACCAATGTTCAATAATGAGCATAACTCTGCGAAAAAAAATCGTAGAATACCTCATAACGATCTCGCGTTTTTCTTGTCTCGAAAGCCCTTTCAAACGAGCCCTTATTCGATCCTACATACCATCTAAGATTTTCAATCTCGTCCCTCCTTCCCGCCCTCCTCAGAGGGTTGAAGTAAATGTTTTCAAGATTAAATGATAGATTACATTTCGCCATTGTAACTCTATAAATTTCAATCCAATATCTCAAACCGTTCAGAAATTATTTAGCTTTTGGCCGAACTTTTGGCGGAAACTGTATATACATATATATAACATTAACATATATGATTATAAATAATTATATTGCGTAAAACTTAATAAACAGCTAAGTGTTTATCAATAAATAAAATGGTACAATCGTCCCGAGGGCTGGGATGGTTGTAACGGTATTCCTCATAATGTTTAAACAGTAATAACTTTTTTCCTAATTACATTACAAAATGGATTTTACACAAGAAAATTTTGTACTTAAATAAATTTTACATCTAAAGATATAGGTTTTTTTAACGTAAATATTATAATTTAACTGTTATAAGACTTTAAATTAAAAGTGTTACTTATGTCCCCGGTGTACCCTACATATCATACTTCCTGACTTTTTTTAAACATGGTCGTATATTCTCACGAATATACATATATTCGTGTACGCTTTAATGTTTTTTTCCTTATTTAACATTTATTGGGCTGTACACACTATACATTTATGCAAACCCTCGTAAAAAAGAACTACTAGTGCAGTGATAACACTACTGAAATGTAGTAGTGGCACTGCTGGTATAGCAGTGAGACTACTACATTTCAGTAGTGTTTTTACTGCACTAATAGTTCTTTTTTACTAAGGAAGTTAAACAATAGCGTGGTATTTTGTTAATATAACCCCTTAAGTGTGCTGATAATAAAGCGTTCTGAAATCCTTTTTTGAGATTTCTGTAAGTAGATATTTGATCGCAGCTGTTAATCTATAATTCATGTTACATGTACGATAGATTTTTTATACTGACAGCAGCTTATATGAGAAAGAGATTTGAATGTGTATATGCATTTATGTATACATTTAGCAATATTTTTTGTAATATTTTATTATTTTGTACATGTATTGGCAACAAAACATTGTGTTTTTTAAATAAAAAAACCAATCTTTCAAATCTATTTTTGTGGGAGACGTATTAACACCTCTATTCTTTTTCGACTCATTTCACAGTGTTGTTATACTTTTATAAATAATATCCTAAGTAATATTTCATTACGTTGAATATCTAGAATCAACTAAATAACTCTTTGACAAAATCATCAAGTTTTCAGCTTAAAATATTGATTGTGTTAGTAAACTTATTGTACAAAATGTAAATTAATGTGGGACAATAATATCACCTTCTTTCTTTAAGTATTGCTAATTTTTGGTTTATATAAAATATGTTATAATCTTAAATAAGACTATTAAATTTTTAATTGAAAATTATCATAGTTAAATCATAATTTCATATATCTTTAAAAAATTTAAAAAAAATTAATTCAAATTAAATTATGATGCAAGCATTTACTTAATGTTTAATATTTTATTATTACATATTTTAATTTATTTTTAATAATGATGTTACATATTATGTCTTACCAAGTCTGGCATTGTAACTGCCGCAGGTTGTGGACCTGGATTTCCTCTGGTTTCCTGACCTGATGCGACTTTCCGTCTCAATCGGTTATGCGTATTTACTATAGCATTTTTATCAGCCCGATTAAGGCCAGGTCTAGCTAAGTATCCGCAAGTCCTTGCTGGTGCTGGAGACTACAGAATAATTTCTAGAATTAGCTAATTGTAACTACTCGTACATTCATTACATATAGAATAAATTGTTTTATTGTCTCAACAATAACATTTCTAAAAGAATAAAAATAAAAGTTTCCGTTAAGATAAAATAAAATATTTTTTTATATATTACATACTTTTCATAAGTTAAAAAGAGAAAAAGACGAAAATAATATATCCTCTATATATATATATGTAAAATATACACATGCAACTAATCCTACTTACAGTATACTTGCACATTGTATGATCCTTTACGTTTACTTCTTTATACGTGCACGATGTTACATTGCAAAAATTTGTCGCGGTTATAGTAGTAAATACTTCCGCCATTATGGCAAAGTACAAAAGGGAAATTACTGCCATGATATTTTTATGTTATTAGCTAATAAGTACTTTTTCTTGATTCTTAAAGAATGCAGCTTTACATAGAGAGCGGTTCTAATTTATAACTACGCGTTATCACTAAAAATGTTATCATTAATATTATCGGCATCATTAACCTTTTTATTTAACTTTTATGTTTTCCTTGTTTTTTCGTTCTTTATCTTTTTTCTGTTTTGGTGATACAATTTATTTCAAGAGCATATTTACTTTTTTACTAGAACTATCGTAAATAATGCAAATAATTTTATAATTTATTTTTAACTAAACTTATTTTGAACTTGTAATTTATTATATGTTTATAAGATTTATTTAATACATATTGGTCAATAACACATGGTATAACACATTGGTCAACAAAATTAACGCATAGTTAAATTTATATCAAAATGTCGCATAACTTTAGACAATTGTAACTTCGCGAAAAATGGTCATATCGAAGAGTTTTTTTTTTCCATTCTCAAGCGTAAAGTTTATACTTAAAAATGCTTTCGATTTTTAATCTACGTTTCCTCCCACCCGTTAGCTTTTGAAAAATAAAGACCATGTTACATCTCCAAAAAAATTGCATAATTTGACGCACTTTACGGGACAGAATAAATTTTTTCTATAAATATTATGGTAATTATCGTAAAGTTTGGACTTTTTTCTACAAATTTGAATAAAAATAAAACTTTATACTATTTTTTTGCGAAGTCACGGCACGTCAAAGTTTTCATTGCATTTTTGTTCAATTATTATCGGCATTGTCTGTCTAGTGCACACTACAGGGAAGTTGCTGGTCGACTTTTGCGCATTGTGTGTGTGTGTGTGTGTGTGTGTGTGTGACTTTTGTAAATCAAATAAGATGAGAATCGATCGCACTACATCTTATTGGTTATTACCAGAGAATCATACGATCATGAAGATACCACAAGGGAGTTTTACCATGCGTATTATGTGAGAGATTTTGAATTATAACTTATGTAACAATTTTGGTACTGAGTATGTAAATTTTAAATTGTAACTTATCGTTGAGGAATGACCGTTCATTCAAGCATTCATTGAAACGTCCGAAAAGCATAATTGTATATAACCTTATTTATTTATGTATCTAGTTAATATACATATGTTAATATACATATGGTATATCTATTGGCAATATCATCTGGCCTTGTAGTTCTTTTATTCAATTAAAGAAAACTCATTTATTTATTTATTGCATATCTTTATTATTAAATACATTATAATAACAGAAATTATATGTACTGACTACTGTTATATTTGCCTGATATTAAAAGGCACTACATTTAATAGTTATTGAAAATCTTGTTATCAAACGATATTATTAAAAAAAAAGAAAAAAAGAGGAAAGAAAGAGAAGAATATTATATGTCTCTTTATTGACATTATTATATAAGAATTATAATTATATATTTTTAGCGATAAAATGTAACGTTGCTTGTGTACATTTTCCATACGTTTCTGTGCTGCTTTTTTCATTTTATTTTCATTATTTGTCGGACAGATTTATTTCTGTTTATATACTTCCCGACCCGGAAAATTTCCACTTGGACCATAGTTGCAAACTAAGTAATGCACATTCCAAACACCTTCTTTATACTTTGCTAGTCCGCAACCGATTTTCGTCGTGTCAGCCCAGACCATTTGGGAATAATGGCCTGTATCCATGTCAAATCTATAAATAAATTGTTTATTAGTCTCATTAAAAAATATATTATAAATGCACTCTAAAATAATTTAATGATTTGGATTAATACTGTTTCAATATTATCTACAAGAAATTACTTTTTAAATATATACAGATACAAAGGCATTCAAAGTATTACAAACTATTTCCTCTAAAAGTACGCATTATAGAGAAAAATGCTACAGACAAAAGTTATATTGTCTGAAGGGGAAGAAATAATGGTAAAATCAATTTTTGAAAAATTGATTTTTTTTTTATATAAAGGTTAATGTCATTTTTTTAAATAAAATTGTATGATTTTTTTTTGTATAGATACTTGTATATGATATGTATTTTTATACTGGATATAAAAATATTATGGTAGAGATATAAATAAACCAATAATTTACGATATTTTGTATATTTTACATATACAGGATGTCTTATAATAACTATTTCCATCTAAATATCTTCAAATCTAAAAGGTTTAAAAGAAAATTTTTGTGATCAAATTTGCACGGTACAAAGGGAGATAGTATATGACGATAATAATTTTTATCCAAGCGCTTCGGAGATTTCAAGGTAAACTTTTCTTAAATAAAACTATATGATTTTTTTTACACAATATTCTTCTAATTATTTTTTATATAAAAGTATTGAAATAAAGGTATCGAAAAATCTGTTATGATATTTTTTATACTTTATCATGCTATATTTTGACATAAAATATGAAATATCTCGTAAACTATTAAATTTTTGATATGTTTATCTTAATATTTTTATACGGAATAATATTAGATAAATCATATTATGTAAAAAATATACAATTTTATTAAAAAAAAACAAAGTTATAACTTTTAAATTTCTGAAGCGCTTCTACTTGGACATAAATTATTATCGACATATAATAATACGGCCGTGACGTGAGGACGGGACGGAGGAAGATAAGATTTCGTGCATGACCTCATGCACACACACACACACACACGCGCGCGCGTGCGCGGTTTTTCACATGCATTTCCACTCAGGAATATGCGCGAAGCTTTATCTTCCTCACGTTCTCATCGTAGACCTCAAAAGTGTTAAATAACACCAATATTCATATGAGGATAACTCTGCGAAAAAAATCGTAGAGTCTTCAACGACCTCGCATTCTTTTCCCAAAAAATCTTTTCAAACGAGTTCTCATTCGACCCTACTATTTAACCCCTGCCTCCCCTGAAGGATTGAAGTAAGTGTTTCCAAGGTTAAATGACAGATTACATTTTGCCATTGGAACTCTATAAATTTCAATCCAATATCTTGAATCGTTCAGATATTATTTAGGTGATCACGACCTTTGGCGGTCTCTGTATATGTGTAACAGTTAAAATATATACATATGTAGGATATAGGTAGCGATCGAGCGATTATTTCGTTTTAAGTTGCGCGTGCGTAGAGGGAGTTGCTTAGCGAGAAGAAAGGCGCGTTTTTTGTTTATTTAAAAAAAGAGCGCAGCGGCGAGAAGCGAGCGAGAGCGTGCCGATTCATTTTGTGTTCCTCATCTCGGGTTCTCTTTTCTTTGTATCCCTCATTATCAATATATATA